CCTCGCCTCGCAGACCCATCGGGCGCAGATCTCCCTCTCGATTGGGAGAATCGTTGCCTCGCTCGGCTCGCGGAAAGGAGTATCGCAGATCTCCTCCGCTCCTTCACAGGAAGAATCACAGATCCCTCGCCTCGCCTCCTAGCAAATCTCTCTCGCTCGCCTTTCCAGGAGAATCGATCTCCTCCCCTTCCAGGATCGGCGCAAGGTTTACCCGATATCCCTCTCCTTCCTTCACGCGAGCCTAGCATTTCAATTTTACTTTCCGATTCGTTTCCCCTGCGATCCTTGAAGTTCGTCTTTTCTGATTCATTTCCCCTACAATCCTTGCCGTAGAAGTAAAATTGGTGTGAGTTTAGTGAATACATAAGAATCTTGTGCCACATATGTAAATTTCTCGTTAGTGGAGAATGGTTTAACTTCTTTGTGAAATTCATTTTTCTTCAAGTAAAATTAAAGATTCTTTCCAATATCTTACACTACTTGTAGTTAAAGGCTAACATCAATTCCATGTATATTTGCAACAAGGAGTAATTAGACTAAAATTAGAAACAGGTGTAACTATTTTATAATTTGTTCTCCTCATTGACTCTTTATATATTTGGAATTTAGATGGAAATAAACCCATGATCCCTTCAAACAAATTTAGCAAGTTGTCTATTTTCTATTTCTAACCTCCGTCAAAAGAAGGTAGTTACTTGAATGGCTCAAAAACACCATTTTTGAACATAAAATATATGCTTTTATGCTTTAATTTTTAAGAATAGCAGTAGTGTTGCATGCTAGAAATCACCTTTAAAGCATAGTTCGTTTACTATAGACACTTTCGAATAATTGGTTTGGTGATTCGTACTCCTTTGGAGTTGTAGCAGAGTTGCTAGCCAGTTTCTATAGTGGCATAAGAGTCACTATTTTTTACTAGTGTTGGATCGGGTTCATGTGATATTTTTTGCATCTTTTCTATCATTATTTAGGATTAGTCTCATATGCACCTAGGTTCATGTGATATTTTTTTTGTTTCTTCTGATACACACGAGAGTGTGAGTGTTGTATGTTATCTTTTGAACTGATCTGTGATGATTTCTGGATTTTGTATTATATAATTTTGTTCTAATTTCAGTTATGTTACAAACAACTTAAACAAACAGGGGCAGAATTGTTATTTATTCAACAACAGCTCCCAGTAAGCTGTTCTGAATAAGCTGTCTCAAACAGAAAGTCAGATTATTCTGATAAGCTGCAGATTATCAGATAATCAGAATAATTATAAATAATCAACAGCTGCCCCAAATATACCCTTACAATCCCTCTATAAATAATCAACAGCTGCCCCAAACATACCCTTACAATCCCTCAAGATTAAAAATCATTTCAGACATTTTTGCAGGTGAGCTGGGAAAATGAAAACTCGCTTATAACCAGTTTCAACCAAATAAAATCATGAAATCACTTCTAAAATTGACTATTCAAAAGAAGACAGAGTCGATGTTTGCACTCCTTACCGTTAACATATGTTTCTTTATCACCATCACTTCGTTCGTTAATGCAATTGATAACAAAGTCTATCGTGGGCTCAATAAACCTTCATTCCAAATCTTTAATAAAATATGGAAAAAGTAAAGTCCCTATAAAATAGTTTTACTATATAATTATCAACTCAATTAGAAGTATGAAAAAAATTGAATCTTTGATCAAATTATTAAACCGATGCCCACTCAAATCAATTTTTTATCATAATATCCAGATGTCAAATTCTTCCATTAAAATTTTCATTATGTTTTAAATAATTATATGTTACCTTTCCCGTGCTTAATCTATTGAGGAGGTAGAATGTTTTCAAGAGGAGACTCAGGTTCAAATAACACACTAACCACCACTAACTTAGCTGGAAAAAGGAAAAAGTAGGGAAATTTGCATTCATGACACACAATTCTTATATATTTACAACCCAAAGTTTGATATTTACACTTAAACACCTTGATGCCATAAATCTATTTATTATGAAAACTGTATTTCACTTTTTAAGTCCCTATAACTTAGCTGCCCAATCACTCAATGAAGCTAATCATAATGCACACACACCTCCGGAGTCCGGATGCAAAATTCGTTTGGATAACAATTGAGGTCCACAGGAAGGAGCGGATAAAAAAAAAAAAAAAAAAAAAAAAAAAAAGGGTCTCCAGTGGATCTTACCCTTGCCTGGATGGAGTAGCGTCTAGATTCCGGCCATGATATTTTTTAGGGTGGGTGGGTGTGTGTGCATTATGTGCTGTGTAAGTAAATGCCCCAAAAAAGTAATCCTTTCTTGAGATGAAAAAAGAAATCATTTTGCCATTGCGTCGGGTGCATGAGAATCCAAAAAGAGTTAGTTGCACCCATGCCTTTTTTTTGCTTCACGAGCCCCATACCAGCAAGAAGACAATAAAGGCCAGTTAAGCCAACGGAAACTGACACCGACTATTCCTCCTCTCTCACTTTCCCGATTCATTACGTCATTCAAAGCTTTTAAAATTCATAGATAATTAAGAAGGGAGAAGAGAAAATCAAAAGTACCAGAACAAAGCATTTGTTGTCATTCGGACAAAAAAATAGATGCATACATTAAAGGATCACAAAACCCTACCCCCAATTATGTTTCTTTTTCATGATCAAAACCTAAAACCCTATTTTCTCCAAAAAGGAGGCGAAGAACGGGAAACACGAAACAAAGAAGGCACTAACAATAAATTAAAAACAAGAATTCGATAAAAAAGCCTGAATTTAACTTCTACCTCTGCCTCCGAAATATTAGATAGCCTTGTCAACTGGCTTGCGGCAGAGGATCATGTGCATAGGTGTAAAGATTCCAGTCTCGCCTCCAGCAGTGAGATGCCTCGCCGTCTCGTACAACATCTCGTGAACCTCAACCACGCCTTTAGGAGCAAGGCGAAGGACAGACAGGACTGAAACTAGCACATGATTCCTCCAATAAGCTAGCCTCCCCATCTTAAGCCGAGTCCACCACGGTCCCGCCGGCGGCAGTGCTAAATCCCTCTCCTCCACCACATCAAACCCCACCTTCCGCGCCAAAGCAGCAACCTGATCCTGAGCACGCAAACCCGGAAGTGCGTTCCCTCGCTCGATCCCCTGAATTGTCTCCACATGCTTCGGGTCATCGTTTCTAAAAAGCCCTGTCGTGACCCATTCGTAAGAAACATAAAGCCCCCCAGGCTTCAACACGCGGTAGATCTCCGCGTAGACGTCTTCCAGGCGTGGTGCGTGACATGTAGCCTCGATTGAGTACGCCCCGTCGAAACTACAATCCTCGAACGGCATCTGGAGGAAATTCCCGCAAAGGACTTCACAGACACCGTCGAGACCAGCCTTACGGTTGTGTGATCGGGCGCGGTTAACCTGGTACTCGTTGATGGTGATGCCCACGACGGTGGATCCCGATCGAGTTGCGATGGCCCGCATCGGACCGCCGACACCGCAACCGACGTCTAGGATGCGATGCTCGGGGCGTGCGTTGATGAGATCAACGACGCGCTCCTCATGGATTCGTGTAGCATCGCGATGGGAGCGGTTTGGGACAGAAGGGGAAAAATGGAAGGATTGGCCCCAACCCCATTCGTAGATGTCGGTGACAAGGTTGTAGAACGTGTCGACGAAGGCCGGCACGTTTTCTGATGACTCGACGGTGTCTTTGGGCCTGCGGAAGAAGGACCAGTATTGTTTGTATTTGTCATGGACTTTGTCTCTGGTGATCGATCCCATCTTGAGATCTACCGCTCGCTTTCCCTTCACCTCCGCGGAGCCCATGACCCATACAAACCAGTATAAAACTCCGGCGGCAAAAACCGCCGCCGTTGCAGGCCACCGTATCCATCGCCTGACTGGGAAGAGGAAATGGGGGAGGGGTGAGGGCCGAGGGGTGGAAAATGGGGATGGAGTCGGGATAGGAAAAGAGATTTATGGGGGTTGGGATCGGATCTGGTACGTTGGGACGGCGGAGAAGGGGAGATGACCCAATAACAGTAGATGATTGTGAGATGCATCGTGTACAGAAAAGCGCTAACGGTGATCCACAGGGTCAAGTTACCGCACACTGCTCTTTGCCTCCATTTTATGTTAAACCCTCTTGGGAATGTTTTGAACCCTAAAAATACAATCTTTCATGATAATATTTTAAAAAAATTCAAAAAGTTTTAGAAGGAAATCCTTCAAGTCAATAAAATTTGTAATTCTCAATAGAATAAAAAATATTTTTTTTTTATTGGAGAAGTCACTTATTAAAGTTTCACAATTTAAAAAATAAATAATATTAATATCACTAAATTTATCAAAAATTAAGGTATGAATTAGAAAATTTATTAAATATGAATTTAAAAAAAAAGATGGCTTCATTACCAATATTTTTGTAACCGTGTAAATACTTATCGTTCACTAAAGTTATTTTAATAAAAAAAATAGATTTATTTTAATTCTAATCTTTTGATAAAGAAATTTTATGTCATCTTCATCTTTAGATGATCATTCAAACTTAGTGTTTGTTTTAATCATTTATGATTACAAGAAAAAAGGTTTATGAAGTTTTTTCTTGGTTACAGTAGGCTTGACTACGTAAATCTTTTCAAAGATGATTGATATCCAAATTTTTCATAATAATTTCATATTTATTTGTAAATTCAGTAATGTAATTAAAAAGATAATTAGAACTATATCAACCCCAATGCTTAAAAGCTTCTTTTACATTCTATATTTTATTGCAAATGGAAACTAAAAGTTCTTCTTTAACACTGATGTTTGGAGCATCATGAACAATATTGACAAAATTAAAGTAACCACATCAATGATTCTTATACAAAAATCTATGCTTCGAAACATAAGATGTCCATAAAGATATAGGAATAGAGAATGATTAGAAGTTGAATTATCCAAAACTCTAAGGAAAAAATAAGTAGAAAATTTTACACAAGAAGCACTACACAAATCCCTCTAAAGAAAGACATATTATAAGATTATCAATTTGATTATTATATCATCTAAACTTATGACCAATATATTTTAATTTAAATATATAGGAATTCATAATGAAATTATTAAAATACGTTAGCTCGGAAGGAATCGGTGGAAGATCATTTAGCTTTTCACTAAACTCTAAAATTATAATTAAAGTGGAACCCAATAGATGACAATGATTATTAATTTTAGCAGCAAAATAAACAATAGAATTTCAAAGATCATTTCTAATTGTGACGCTATGATTAACATGAATGAAAGTTTAAGGAAAAATAACTTAACAGAAGATGAAAAGATGAAATGTCCATGAATATATTGTGGTTTGACTTCTAAAGAAGTAAAAGAACAAACCTCAGAGCTAAATTTAACCCAAATATGCCAATTTTCAACAATATCAAAGTCATTCACAATTCATTCATTATTTAAAAGACTATATATATTAATAGAAAAATTATCAAAATTGAATAAAGATAGAGCTTAGTTTCAATAAGCTCATTCATTTGAGCACAATTATCGTAAAATTTTTTTTTACAATCAGCAGCATGGGTTTCATTGTTAAGCCACAAAAATTTTAAGCAAGAATATTAGGATAAAACATACAAAATAAAAAGAGAAAGTAAAAAAATAAAAAAATAAAATAAAATAACGCAAAAAATTACAAAATCTAGCTTTTCCTTTTTTTTTTTGGTCGAAAGGTAGAGGAAAAAGAGATGGAAATAACAATAAGAGCAGCATTGAACATATTTTGAATAATATTACATGTCATAACTGTGAAACCCCTTAAATAGAATGAAGTTGAGCTCTTAAATGTCGAGATGTCTTTTGGTGTAATAGTGGAATTTTGATAAAAAAATCCATAGTTAAGTGTGCTCGTGATTGAACACTCCTAAAAAGGGTTACCTTCTGGGAAGTTACACTAACAGGGCAAAACTATGAGACCGTTAAACCAAAATGGTCATTAATTTGATGGGTGAGAGTTTGGGCTGTCACAAATGGTATTAGGTCATTACACGAGCTGGAAGATGAGAGCTAAGTGTCGTGTATAAAAAAGTTCTATGCCATGAGAGCCACCTCTTTGAACCCAAGATAGGACAAAACACTAAATGATGGGAGCCACCTCTTGAATTTGTAGAGACCACCTCCACAATTCTATTTTCCCAGTGGATGATTCCAGCTAAGAAAATGTGCGAGGACGTCAGCTACTTAAGTGGGAGAGATTGCTTAAGTAGAATAAAGTTGAAATTTTAAAAGTTGAGGCTCGTTTTGGTGTAACAATAAAATTTCTATAGAAACTCCAAAGTTAAGTTTGCTTATGGTAGACCAATCCTAGGATGGGTGACCTTCTGAAAAGTTACAGAGAAGACGAAACTATGAGGCCATTACGCAAATGTTGATAATACCTTTATGGGTGATGGTTCAAATTATCACAATCACACTAGGAATACTTTCAATAATAACATTCTAAGCATGATATTACCTCAGTATTAATTGAATAAAAAACAAGAGGTAAAGCAGAACTTTTAGTTATAATTGGTAAAACATAAAATTTATTTTGCAAATTCCTATAATTCATATTATCTTGATTTTACACAATAACACCAAAAGAATTAAGGTCAATGTCAATAATAATATTAGAATAAGCATTAGATTCAATAGACTGAACATCAGCTTCTCTCTAGCAATTTTAATACTACTTAATGGAACATCAAAAGATATATTTAACTCTGCAACAGAGGAAGTAATGCAATGTTATTACTAACAGTAAAAACCCTAACAAGAATAGAAGGTTTACTCTTACTTCTTTGATTTGATTATTACAATACATAATATTGCTTCTTTCTCTGACAATAGAAGCAATAATAATACATTGAACATTCACAATGTTACGACAATATTGAGGATCGTGAGCAAAAGTACAACAAGTCTTATAAGAAGTTGGTTTTTATTCCTAAACCACGGGTTATTAAATTCATGTCTTTTAATATTAAATGAATGAATCTAGAAAGAGGATAGTTGATATTTATATATATGTTAACTCTACCAAAAGAAAGTAGAGAAAATTTGGATGTTAAAAAGTCAACGACCAATGAAACGTTGATTTGACTTGCAATATTAGAAATACCAGACTCATTCCAATAAAACAAAGACAATTTAAGAAGCTTGATTCAAATTGGCATTTATTTGAAATCTTCTTCACATGTTTTAAATCATGTGACAATTTTATCATGTGACCATTTTTTTAATTGAATGTTTTATCATTGATAGAGCACAAACTGCCCATAAAAACTATATCTAAATCATCAGCACAATAAAAATAGACAAAAATAAATCTTCAAATGGAGATTGAAGTTCTGCATCTCATTTCAATTTTCATATTATAGTAATAGCTTTGTTGCAAATTATTGTAGAAACAACGGTTGCCAATAACATACCTAACTAGAGCCAGAGTATATTTTTTGAGCAAACAAAAACTTCTTGATCTGAAAAAAAAAACGATCTGACAAAACCCGAAACACATGACAAATTAAAATTAGAAGAATTAGTAAGACTATAAGAGATAGAACTCTTCCAATTAAGAATAGAGCTAGGGCCAAGAAAAGGCTAAGAAAAATATGAAATAAGAGGTGGGAAATAATCCATAAGAAGAAAATAAAAGCAAAATCCCTTGAACAAGCAAGAAAGACATGAATAGAAGAAAAAAGGAAAAATAAATAAGGGTTTCCCCAAGAGATAGGGAAAATGAAAAGAAAACCACAAAACCCCTAGAGGAGATCCAAGAATCACCTCTAAGTGTCACTTCCGCCTCTCAAAACTTTGGCGAGGCCCTTTTTCTCCTCTCAATGGCATCAACTGGTGAAAAACGAATTGAGCTCCAATTTTGCTTATTATACTGCATGATGTGGGGTCAGCTACCCAATTTGTTTTTACCTTGAGGTGTCACACGTGCCTAAACATCTTCCTCATGAAATTGCATGTCATTCTAATGAATCCAATATTATCCCATTCTAAAATCATTAAAGCAAACAATATACTATTAAAAAAATAATATAGGCATTTACATACATAACTCAAAATTCTTACATATTTACATACAAGTCTAACGCTTTAACTTTCATTATTTGTATCACGACACTTGTGTATTTAATTTCACCTAAAAAATATTGTTATTATTAAATTTTTAAAAAATGAAACACACATTTTCATTTTAAATATATGACATCAAATTATTACAAGATGAATACGAAAATATATAAGACCTGCGTGGTATGTATTACAATCAACTAAAATAGTATGGGTCATTCGATAGAGAGGTTTAAGGCTTTGACCAAGATAATTAAAATATCAATCTCAAATCATAAATAGTCTTGCTTTTTGCAGGAGTATAGCTTTGATTTTTACTGCTATTATGCAATCACATTTGCTTGATCATCATCTCTTAATCATCATCACATGATCGTCCTCTCCTAATCATTATTGTATAACCATGATTATCTGATTATCATCTCCAATTTGTCACCATTACTCTCCATAATATTTTTACAATCACATGAGATCAAATAAGTATTTTTGAATTTCATAATCATGTATTCTTCTATTGTGGAAAATAATAAGCTTTTGTAAACTCACATACATATTGGATTATTATAATTGGTCTAAGTTTGGTGATTTTTCTTTCATTTTCAAGTTTTTCAACTAAAGTTATATTTTTTATTATAAAACTTTATTTCATAAATTAGATTTTATACAAATTTAAGATGCCAAATATTCTCTCTATTATCTTGGATACTATATTGCAATAAGGTGAATTTCACTTTAAGTTTGCCCATGACCTTGCAAACTCAACCCCTAACCTTGAAGCTTCTTACAAGCTTGTAGACCACA